CAGCAACTGGATGTCAACCAGACACAATGTGAGTAATGCACACCCAACAACAAGGGACATAGTGTAAAAATTAATATGTAACTGAATGCAACATGAATACCTGAAAATTTGTCATGACATTGAATGTCAAAGTCCATTTCATGTGGTATGACTTGAATACCATCATAGCTTATCATGCAATGCTTAGCCAGATGAGCAGGTAACGTTCCATTTTTACAGTCTTCTAAGAGTCGACTCGCAGCATGTATATCATCCACACTTATAGAGTAAATATCACATTGCACATCAATTACTTTATAAAAGTGCTCTTCTTTCTCGTCCACATAAATTGGTTTGTTTGCCTTCTTCCATCTCATAATTTCATGTCTGATGACCTTCTTGTCGTCAACGTTAGTATGATTTATTGTCAGTCTCACTGTATTATATGAAAAATACATATCGTATTGTGTGTCTAATATGATCAAAATGAATGGAAATGTTTAACTTCATTATTTCATTAAATTATTAGTTTAATTCTGAATACCGGGAGAGACAAACTGTAAACACACCATGTTCAATACAAGTCCAAAGTGTAAAATACATTGTTTGAACCCAAATTTCAGGTGTGCACTATGGTGGGATATAAATCATATTTTTGTATGAATCCCTTTTTGTTCAGTCTCAACAAAAATGATATTACTTGTCAAATATGAGTGCATACATTTCTGCAAGTTATCTGTTATTTCTTAACCTTTTCACCACCAGTTCCCCCTTTTCATCACAAATTCACAAAAAAGTCCTGTTTATAGTCTGCACTTTCCTTTCAGAAAATTTAGACAAAAAGAGCCAAATTTTTTTAGTAAAAACTGAAATTTAACTCAAATTTTGTCAGTTGGCTCCAAAATTAGGGTTCATTTCCAGAAATTTTATAGAATATAAAAAAAATTTGCAGAAAAATTTGGTGGTGAAAAAGTTAAAAGGACATGATCACAGCATGAAATATCACTACATATGAAACCCAATTTAGAATATAAAAAAATATATATAATAATAAAATACCTGTGTTAGGAATTCTTTGTCTGTTGTATTTACAATCTTGGCTTGTCCACCTATTTCCTTGACTTTTATCATCCATTGACACTGGTGGAAAAAAAAGGTTTACAGTTTAGTCATTTTTAAATGTATCAGTGAAAAAAGCACACAACCAGCACCCATATTCTTGCTTATATTTGAAATTACAAATTTTCAGCAACTTCATGCGTCCACCTATTTCCTTGACTTTTCTAATTCATTGACACTGGCGGAAATAAGGTTTACAGGTTAGTCATTTTAAAAATGTTACAGTGAAAATTACACATGATAGATACTGGTACTCCTACTTATATTCGAAATTACAAATTTTCAAGAACTTTATGTGGTGAACCATAGACTCTATGGGCAAACTGAACTGAAAGGAGAGTTATTTTTTCTAACTAATAACTGACTCATGGGCACACTGTTAAACTGTATGATTGACTACACTGCAGTATTCTAGTGAACAGCCACGACTTCCTCTGCCAGAACAACGGAAAATACTGAGCGAGAAATTAGTATATGCACAAATAAATTTGTTTAATAAATTAATCTTTTATAAATTAAAGCAATAGTACGCAGAGATGGCTAATAAAAAAAAACATTTAAATTACAATAACAGGTCGAAGGCCAACACAAAAATGTCGGTGCATGACGAAAAGTTTACCTTCAATGGGACCTGTTGCAGCCCGAGTTGCAATCTATGCACAGTATGCGGAATTAATAATAATACTTCCAGCTGGAAGTCTCGCACCATTTGACAAATAACCTTGAGTTCAGGCACACACATTGTCACCTCTCACACTGTTCCATTTGTGTGACTTCCTCGGGGAGTACATTGCATTGCAATAATTCATGTCACGCACGCAGTCGGGCATTCCCCAACCTCGCTTTCGTACGAAGTTGCCATCCACGTTCTTGCGCTCCCTGGAAATGACGTAAATAATCCATGGGTTGGTGCGAGTGCGCATGCGCACCGTTAGGGGGGGGGGGGGGTCATCAGAATGACCTCAGAAGTTGTCATTAGAATCTCACGACAGCGTTTTTGGACGAAAAATCGGTTTTGCGTTGGTTATTTATTTTAGTCTGTTTCTGGCGCAACCTGAAAAGGGGAGTAAAGTTTCTTATTTCCGGTTTCCGTCCGTGATATCTCTAACATTTTCTCAGAAATTCTACAGCAGATATCGATGAAACTTGGCAGGTTGATAACAAGTCTCTGTTGAATACTAGTATGCACATAGCATACTTGGACAAAAAAATATTATTTCAAAGCATCAATTCGGTTTTAGGAAAAACTGCAGGGCCACAGACAATCTCTTTATATTAAAAACAATTGTACAAAAATATCTCTATAATAATAGCCATTCAAAAGATATCACAACCCCAAGTCTAATAAAATCTATGCTTGCTTCATAGATTTTTAGAAAGGCGTTTGACAGTGTGTGGCATAATGGTCTCTATTTCAAACTTCATAAAAATGGCCCCATTGACAGTTTTATCAGAAAACAACGACTTATAAGTATTAAAACCGGGTAACAAACTCTGATACTAGTAACACATTATTAAACTCTGATAACACATTATTAAGAGAAGCCTACTACCTAAATAAGAATGTAAAAAGTAAATGGTTAACAAGTGATATGCAAGATATTGATGTTGTCACCATTGTAAACTCAAGTGAAATATAAGAAAAATTTGGACTTTATTCATAAAAAAATAAACAAATCATTTGAGAACCAATGGATTTTAGACATGCATAATGATATTAATAGAAAACAAACCTTAGCTAAAAACAAACTAAGAACATACAGACTTTTTAAACAAGATTTAAAAATTGAAAATAAAAAATTACCTAATTAATATGCAGAACCATGGTCTTAGAAGGTTAATTGCAAAATTCAGGACAAGCAACCATGACCTTAACATAGAGAAAGGCAGACATAATAATGTGCCACTGGATAAAAGCACATGTGATATGTGCAGCCAACATATAATTGAGGATGAGCAACATTTTGTAATGAAATGTCCAGCTTACAGTCATCATAGGGACAAATTATTTCTGACTGCACAAAATAAAGTTCCAAATTTTGATAAAGAAAATAGTCAGAATTTATTTTGATTATTATACTCTAGCACCAGCCTTAACTGCCTTCTTAAAAAACAGCTATGGAACAAAACAGCAACTATCAGTGTATTAGGCTACATTTTGTGTTCATTCTATATTCTGTATTCACCAGTGGCTGCAAATTGTCTTTATTGTTTATTCATATTTGTTTTTGATTTGTTTTATATTTTCAGAAAATTTTTTTTTTTCCTTTTTAGATTATAGTTATTTAATTTCTTTCTGTAAGACCCTTTTTATCCTTCTCTAAATATTTTATGCATCTGATAAAATATCCATAATTTTTTTCCAGATCTGAAAATCCTAAGTACCGTAGGTCTTTTTCACGATTTTCATCATAAATTACCTCTTGTTATTAAAGGTACATCAAGGTTTACTCAGATCTATGAATGCAGGTTTTTGAGCATGTATGAGACATACCAGTAGTTTGGTTGCACTTGTGTATTCTGAGATTTC